ATATATTCAGATGATTGGCGAACGTTTATAAAAGCTTCCGATTAGACAATGATTTCTCCAAATTATTTCTAGTTTGCTTAATTAAATGAATTTTTTTGACCGTACTAAAATAAAGGTATGAGTACTCAATATTTAAACATTGAATTACGTGAAAGGTTTCAATTCTTTAGTACGTTCGAACACTCATCATAAATTTCCCGTATTTAATCGAAATATTCATGGCCTAGACAAATCGCATCTTTATATTATTATTGAGCAAAGAGTTTTTTTTATGAAAAATTTATTTATATCACAAATTCAAACGTTAGATATTATGTTGTCCTTATTCACATCATACGAAGTCATGTTATAATTACTATTATTGAATCATCGTTTTAATAACTAATTACATTAAAAATCAGCCAAAGTTATTTTTCAATCGGTGGAGATTGAAAATAACACATAACACGTCGTTACGATCTATTCATACATTAGTATAAATCACCATTAGACTTTAAGTTTAGATTTGTAGACCATTACCATATTACGCATCCATTACTTATTATTAACTAGTATCATAACTCTGCTGAATGAGTGATAATTCTGATAGGTTAGCATTTAGACGGCGGATAAAGTATGGGAAAACTTAGATCATACGATGTCTCTTTAGGGTGCTCATCAAATCGGCAAATCAAACCATAGTTAGAGTTATATGCATCTGGATTTTTTATTGGTTTTGGAATATTGTAATCATACCTTTTTTAATGGTGCACTTTTTGAGCGAAAAATTCAATTTTTTTATGCCATATTTTTTTTTAATCGATAGTTTTTTTTCAAGCAATAAATAGGTTCGACCTTATTCATTCATGGTCTTATATGAGATAGCTTTATATGTATTATGGGAGATTATGATTCTATTGTTTGACGTTTAATTTATTATATTTTTATACAGTGAAGAATGTATACGTATTATAATTTTTCTGTCTAAATTAAATCGTGTTAATCGTTTTTGGTTTATTTCTACGTACATAATACGTATGTTGTCGTATATATGTAAATTCAAAGTTTTTAGTTATATCGTACGTATGTACGTATTATCGTTTATTAGTTATAAAAAATCAAAATTTTTGATTGGTCAGCTGGCACATGATCTGCAAAGTCAATTTGTGTGATCGACCAATCACGAGAAAGTTATCCTATATGGATCTTATGGGGTGCGTCACAACGCACGTGCGCTAAATTATAAAATTCAAAATTTTTTATATTGGTAAACAAAAATTTATTAATATTGTTTATGTTACTCATTATTTTAATCAATATTTTTATATATTACTATAAACTTAATTATAAAAAAGTTATTTATAAAAATTCTAAATACTTCACAAATATAAACTTCCGCTCCTGGTTTTGCGTGACAATGTCGCGCAATTACCTTATTATTAAAATTTAGGGTTAACGTTAAGGTGTAATTTTAGACAAAGCTTAGAGTTAGATATTAAAGCCCAAATTTTAGTTAGCATAAGGTTTTTGAGGGTTCTGAACATTTTTACTTAGTATCCCTGACGTGTGTTAACTAGTATGTTTTTGAGATATGTTTTAATTCAGACAAACACAAACCCATGTACCAGTTTATGTTTATATGTTAATAATCTTTTACTTTTATTAATTCAATAGTTTATCAAATAACTATTGAATCAATAAAGGTAAAAGATGATTAACATATAAGTATGAACCGGTACTCGGGTTTATTTTTGTCGAATTAACCCGATTGAAAATGTCGGAAGGCGATTTTCAAGGCAAAAACCCCATATAACAATTATAATTTACGATTCATCGCTACTCCCTGATTGAACAATTATAAGATTACGTAGAATGATTTTGTTATGATTTAAGGTTTTATGTTACATATATTTTTTAGTTTCGTCATGCTTCGTCAAGTTTGTCACCTTTCGTCAGTCTTTTTAAAACTTTTTAACAAAAGACGAAATCTAGTTTCGTCTAGGTTTCGTCTAACAACACTATTAACGACACCTTTGTATTTGAAAGGTAAAATGCGTTTTGTTTTTTTAATATTAGTTTTTGAACATTTTTATTTGGAAATAATATATTCGAATAAAAGATTATGACAGAAGTTGAATATTAAAATACATTAATTAATTTTATATCTATTAGCACATAATATTTTTTAGCTATTAACATATTTCATTTTTCACATATAATATTCTTTAGCTATTAACATATGTAATATTCTTTACAAAATAATACATTTGATTTTTAGAATCTTTTTTTTGTAAATCATGCTGTTAATATTAATCTAAAATTATTCTAGACTCGCGTTCTTTGTCACGTATTCGTTGTTGATGAATTGCACTTCGTCTTTTTGACGAAGTTGAAGTATCTTCGTTATCTTCTTCCTTTGCAGATCGACCAAATACTGTAAGTACATAAAGTCCACGTAACATATTTCTGAAGCAAATAATGGAATAGATTATAGTAGCTAATACAAGAATAACTATTGTAGCTAAGAAAAAGGTTAGGAATCTTCGAGTGAATCTATACGGATCTTCTGTAAAACAAATCAAATGTAGGGTTATGTGAATGGATATTCAATGAACATAATTAAAATAAATCTAAATAAATACCATCATCTGTTTGTAATTTAATGTTAACAGTTATAAGTCGATATAGCCAGTAAATTAATGAGAGGGAATAAATATTGATCACCGATAATAAAAGATATTTCATTTCCATTGTTACAGAAAACCAAGCCATTACTAACATGGCAGTACCAAAAAAAAAGACAAGAACAACCTCCATAATAGACAAGAAATAGGAAGAATAACCAATAGTTCGAGAAGGTACGAGT